ATTATTTATATTTATATCATCTATACGATATTCGAATATTTGTTTTTAGATGTTTCACCTAGCTATCTTCCAAATATTAGCCTTTTATATTAAAAAATTTCGACCAGTGTTTTAAATAAACATAGGTTGCAATAGAATTCTAAAATGTATCCAGGTTGTTAAAGAATTTTAATTCAACTTACAATAAAATTAAGTAGATTCCAAATTATTTCATCGAATACATTGTTTTAGAATTTAAATCACTTTAAGATAATACGTATTTATTCATCATATATCAGCAAATTAATTCAATTTATTTTAAAGCATTACATATTGTTTTTACATTTATAATTATAAGGATGACAACTACTATTACATGGTAATCTCATTTTTTTATATTTACAATAGTTTTTGTCACATGAATTTTTGCAATTGTATTTAACATTGCCTATTTGTGAAGAAGATTGCATAATCGATGCCTCTCGGATGCTTATAAGTATTGAAAGAATATTATCCAATTTGGAAAACTTGTCAGGACCCAAAAGAAGAAGTTCATTAATATTATATATAACTTTAATAATACCAGATTTGCATTCAAGTTTATATGTGTCGTTTTCTGATACTTCGAGAATTTTGCATGGAAGTGTTTTTCGGTTATTGTGTGTTCTATCAATATCAGAAATTTTGATATGCACTAAATCTCTAACATTGTATTTGTTGTTAAATTTTTTATTATGCTTGTTAAGTTGTGATTTCATGTTATCATGATATCGTTCGAGTGACTTTGTAGCGACGCTTCGATAAATTTCATGAGCTGATATTTTTTGAACATTTTTCCTATTCTATTGAGTATGTTTAGGGCTAGGTTTATCTAAAAAGGACTGCAAAATAAAAATAAATTTAACTTATACTATGTACAAAATTAATAAATGTGTAATTACCTAAGCATTGATGTTTGTATTGGTAGCCATCAAAATAGTAGATTTGTGCCTCTTACTTGAACAAATGTCAAGAACATTTTTAAATAATCTTCTACCAACTGCTTCATTTTCAGGTAAACTTCTATCAGCTGTTTCATCTTCAAGTAAACTTCTACCAACTAATTCATCTTCTAATACTTCGGTTAAAATGCTTTTGTTATCAGATATCTATTTATATAATTTATTAATTATTAAAAAAAAATTTTTTATTAAAATGATAATATTAAATACTTATATTTATCGCTACATTTTCTTTTTCAGTTACCATTTCGTTCAACTTCTTACCTAGCTTTTCATTTATTCTTTTATTTAATCGCTCGTCTAACCTTTCATCCATCATGTTATCCAATATTTTATCATTCATATCATCCAATATTGCATTTATTATCTCGTTTAATTCATTCTCCAATTCATTCTCAAATTTATTTTTCAAATCACACTTAAGCAATTGCTGTTCCTAAAAGAATTAAATTAAAATAAATAAATAATAATTACATTTTATAAAAAAAAAAAAAAAAAACTACTTTGATGTTTAATGCTACAGCTTCTAAAAGTGACTCTACGACTTCTTGCTGATCAAAATCATCTCGAGGCTTAGATGGTTCAAACCAGTTCTCAGGTAACTCATTTTCTGAATTAATATGTTGATCTTTGATTTCTTTTAATATAGTAAAATGCCATAAAGGATTTTGTCTAAATACTAATAATATAGACTATTTTTAGTTTGTCTAGATGTTTGGATATTTATTGCATCTACGTATCAGTATTAAAAATATTAAATTAAAATCGATAATAATAAAGTGTGTCATGTGATGTTCCTAGTGATAAAGTGATCATGCATGTGACAAATATAATGATAATTGCTGTCAGGAATACTAATCATACAAATCAAGTCGACCTGAACCCTATTGAGAAAGGCGCTAGAAATTATCGGCTTTTCAACCACTAGATTAGAAAAATTTCTTCATGTTGCACATGTTGTGCAATTTTTTACAAATTCTTTAACTATGGATTGCAAAATATAGCAATATTGTTCTGAAATCTGTAAAAAAAAAAAAAAAAAAAAATTAATAATATATTTTATAACCTTACAAATTAATAACCTTATCAATTAATCTGTAGATTATATACCACTTTCCAGAGTTTTGTTGAACCAACATGTTTACATGTTTCAAGACCCTTGATATAAACTGCACAATATTTCATATAACTTGTCAACGGGGCATACAGGTAGATTCGAATCAATTTTTATAAGTTGCAATATGGGATTAGCGGGTGTTCCAAGGTCACGTAAAGCAAACGTCTTTTTGGCCCAGAAACGATCTTTTGCATTTCCGATCTTGGTATTTGCAGGGTCCTGTAAAATGCTAATACAAAAATCGAAATCTTCATGTGTAATGAAAGTTTTACGTCGTCTATTAACGGATCTGGTATCAAGAAAATTTCCGAGCAACTCTTCGAATACATCACGAGATAAAAATGGATAATCCTGAGATTCGGCCATCAAAGAGAAAGAATTTTAAAATGAATAAAAAAATTTTTTAAAATTTTTTAAATATTTATAGAAAATTTGCATAATTTATTTCTTTATTATACGTAATGTTAACCATCGTAACTATCATAAACTATCATAAACTATCATCTATGTATTAATCAATTACATATTTATTATGCATCGATCAGTTTAGAATCAATTTTAGGTGGAATCTAAATTTCGTATCAACTTAGACTACATTTGGAATTCTATTCCAACCTAGATGGATTCTAAATCCACAATAATTCCGTTCCAACGTACGACATATATGTTGTAAGTGGAAATAGAATCTAAGTGGATTTGGAATTTCCTAGTTAAATTAGGGTTAGGGTTAGGGTGTACATATGATAAAATCAA